ATGGAGATCCAAGGGGGGATGAGGTGATTAATCAAATGATGAGAAAAGTCAATTGATGAAAATGGAGAATTGGAGACTGAAGGATTCCAATGAACAAATGCTTATCGCTTGAGCAAATGTGCAAAGCAGTGTGTGAAAGTATTCGGGGGATATTTCAGTGTTTGTTTGGATCAATAATCGACTAATAGTAAATAATAATAAAATAATTAAAAATAAAATGGTGTAATAATAAGATCAGTGAAATGTCACCTGACTAATTCAATAATCAAGGGGGACTAAGATGCCCACCAACAAGGTGCCCTAGGAGAGACCCAGGAGAAATCATGAGCAATTTCTCTTCCTCACCAACTTCCATAGTGCAGGTTGTGACGTGTGTGTTATTCCTACTTTCTCTGAAAGAGGGGTAGGAACCCTGGAAATCTTAGTCCTTTTTGATTGGTGGAGAGTTTCCCTTGGATATATTGGGGCTTCATAAAAGTCTTTTCCAGGTCCCCTCAGCACTAAAAATAGGGCCCTCTCTCAGTGCAGACCCTCCCCCAGCACTGGGAAATAGCAAACCCTAGCAGAAAGAGGTGACAAAACTTAAAAGGAAGAGGGCGTGTGCTGGTGCCACAGAAATGGCCATCAGAAAGGGTGGGGGGATCTTCAGGGCCAAGGTCCATAGAGTGCTTTGCAAGTAAATTTCTATCTCCTTGGTCTGTGCTGAATAGGCAGCTTGAACTTGCTGGGCTGGAGATGAGCTGAAACCCTGTAGTTAGAGAAATTCCCAGGGGCATCTCAGTGTTTTCTGGGGACTAGAACTTGTAATACTGCTAGATCTGCCTGTTCTCTGTCCACAAAGCCCGACTTCCTTGGGGAGCTTTGTCATGCCCTATTTGTTGGGGATTGTAGAGGGGTGCTGGGGAAAAGGAGGTAGGAATAAGCCAAAAACCATTGAACACTCGCTTTCCTTCTAAATGATCTACCTTAAGAGTGAATTTCCTGGATTTTCCAGAGGACTTTTGGCCATTGGTACTACAGTTAGGAAATAGAAACCACAACCAACAAAAACACATCTAAACCACATATGAAATTACCACTCTGTTATAATCCATTAAAAAAAAAAAAAGCACTATCCAGTCAGAACTGATTCTGGCAGAAGAAGATTCTGGATCTCTAAGCACCCCACAAATCTAAGATCCCAAAGGCCCAGGGTAGGTGAGCAGCAGCAGGGCCCCTGCAGCAGGGCTGGCCCAGGCCACTCCTGGTATACATAGAGGGTTCCAGGATAGTACCAGGTGCCCTATTTGTTTACAAAAGCACCCTAGTTTGGACCATAAGCAATATGGTCTTTCAACCAGAAGCTTGACTCCAGGCCTTTGCACTGAGTGTCTGCAAGTCCATTTTCAAGTTTCACTCTTCATTCAGGGTCAGCAAACTATAGCCAGCAGGTCAAGTTCAGCCCTTCGTGTGCTTCTGCATGGCCCACAGGCTAAAGTTTTTTTCTTTTAAAGAAGAATATTTGATAAAAATTTCATGTGGTCTGCAAAGGTTAAAAAATATACTATCTGTTCCTTTACAGAAAAAGGTTGTTTTCCCTTTTCTAGCGACCTGCTCTTACATTTTGGGATGGAGGGCCAGGGTTTTGTTTCATTATTGGCTTTCATTTGACTCCAAAGGAAAGTGTTAGGTACCTTCATCCTACTTTTGCCAAAATTGAGACCAACAGAGGGCTTGATGCTAAGGAGGTGTATCTGTTTCTTGTATCCATCATGTTCCCTACCAGAGCATCCCATATGGCACAAGGCCTCTACTGAAACCTTCTTTGTCTCCACCCCAAGGGATGGTGATGTTGTGAAGGCAGGATGTTAAGGGTTAAAGGGTTAAAGCCTCCCCCGGTTACAGCAGGGTTTCTGTTCAAGACAGGCATTGCTTAGGTCATAATGCTTTATTTCGTTCCTCCAATCACATCCTGGTGTTGTCAGGCCCTTAGATACCCAAGGCATTTGTTGTTCACTATTATGTTTCTATTCAGCTTGTGGTCCTTGTGTGCCGAGGAAGACTTTGGGAGGGATGAGCCTGTTTGGGTATGAAGACAAGTGTATTCGTTCCTCCCCTGGGGACAGCATCTCCTTCTCAGAATCTCCATTTATTTATTTTTTAAGATTTATTTATTTATTTATACAAGAACCGGGGTACAGGCCAGATGCACAGGAGGGTGAGAGGATTCACCAGAGACAGAGCAGGGAACAGAACAGGCAGACTGACAAAATACACTGCTGAGGGGAGCAGCGGGCGCGACAGGAAAGGTCTGCCGCGCCACGTGGTACCCTTGCCAGCCGGCTGGGATCAAACTGGCGCTGCAGAGGCTGCGGACAGCCTCACAGCGCTGTGCTCAGCCGCCTGTGCCACCAGGGGAGGCCCAGAATCACCATTCTCAGTTCTGCGAAAATGACTCCAGTTGGAGAAAGGGGATGGGAGAAGAGCAATTATTGGACCAAGAAAGAGAGAACAGAGTTGTCATCCTGTCCTTGTCACTGACTGACTATGCGGCTTTAGGAGCTCAGGCATTCAGATTTTCACCCATAAAGAGAGCTCTGTGTTAGCCTTCCAGCCTGGACACTGATGGTTCTGTAAGTGCAAGCTATTCTCTGAAATGCTATTCGTTCATTTGTGTGATTTGTATATGGAATTCAAATAGTGTCACTATAATTCTTAAAAGTTTATATTCAGAAGCATTTGAAAAATGAACACGTTGACTGATCTCAAAAGCAATCAGGCTTTAGAGCCCCTATTTGCCTGATGCTGCTAAACATAACTTGAAGCTCCTTCAATAGAGCAGTTGATGGGGACGGCAGGGTCAGGACCAGACCTCAGGACCAGATTCAGGCCTTCACCTCCTGTTCCCTGTGGACACCAGAACACACTGCTTTTTGTGGCTCCCAAGGGACTGACCTAAAACCTGGACATCCCTCCCAGGACAGAAAAAGCCCCTGGCACTGCCTTACATATGGTAGGTGAGCAGTCAGTATTCAGCTGAGTTGTCTAGAGAGCTGGATTATCTGTTATTCTGGGGACATTTCTCTAGAAAACGCTTTTAAAAAATTTTTACTCCAGACATGTCTCATAAATGAGAAATACATAATGAATATGAAAACCCAACCCATTCTCCAATAGGGCTTCATGAAAACCAGTGTTATTTTTCTCCTTGCCATTTCTGCGAAGGTGAGTTGTCTGACAATCTAGAGAATGCAGTTATTAGGTAGCTCCTTTTTTGCATCTATTAAATAGGGGCTCAACTTTAACACATGGCACCTTCAAACCACAGAATCACCATGGCCAGGCCAGGTTGGCCCAGGAAAGTTTACCCCCAACTCTAGCCCAACTCTAGCCCATCCTCCAAGCTTTGAAATAAAACTTCTCTGGAAATTTTACTTAGAGTGAACATCAGATACCCAATGGGGAGAGGCTCCCACTAGGAGCTGGTTGGTTTTGCGGGTTACAGGGTTTGTCTGTCTGATCAAGCAGTTTAATAAAAGCTCCCACAGCCACAGAGCTTCCCTGCCTGTTGCTCTAAACCAAAAATATGCTTCAAAAGCAAGAGAGGGTAGGAGAAGATATTCTCCCAGATTGTGAAACAATGGATTCGGATCAACCCTGACCCCTGAGCTTCTTCCTCAGCTGTGAACAGCCTCCACTGTGTTCATGACTTAAAAGGCAAAGATTGACCTTCCCTGGTACCTCACTGTTTTGTCAACTCAGCCACGGGTTATCCCTTTGGAAAAGGACCTGCTATATGGCGAAACAGATGGATTGAAAATATCCCTTCCCAACTCTTCTGCACTGTTGGTGGGAGTGCAAACTGGTCGAACCACTATGGAGAGCTGTGTGGAGATTTCTGGACCTACTAAACATAGAGCTTCCATATGATCCAGCAATTCCACTCCTAGGTATTTACCCAAAGGACACAGAAACATCAATTCCAAAGAGCACCTGCACCCCTATGTTTATAGCAGCACTGTTTACAATAGCTAAGCTATGGAAACAACCCAAATGCCCAAAAATAGATGATTGGATCAAGAAGATGTGGTACATATACACCATGGAATATTACTCAGCATTCAAAAAAGATAAACACATGCAATTTGCAGCAACATGGATGGTGCTGGAAGGGATCATGCTCAGCGAAATAAGCCAAAAAGAAAAAGAAAAATACCGGATGGTCTCACTCATAGCAGGAATCTAGAAAACTTAAATAAGGGACCAGGAAAATGAATAACTATAAGAAAGTGAAAATCAAAATCAACAAAAAACTATGAACCAGAGACACTTTTTGGGGAGTGGGGGGTGGGAGGGGAGGGATTGGGGTCAGAATGGGGGGGGGGTTGCAATTGTATGGGGAATATAAAAATAAAATTTATTATTATAAAAAAAAAAAGAAAATATCCCTTCCCAGCCTCTGACTCCAAGAATAAAGTCCATTTTAAAGAATTCTGACTATTGGGGGCCTCTCAGGTGGTGCAAGGGGTTAAGCACCACACTATGAAGCAATCTGCAGCCTCTGCAGCATGAGTTTGATCCCCGACCGGCCAGGGACAAACCCACATTGCACAGCAGACCTCTCCTGACTTGCCTGCTGCTCCCCTCAGCAGTGTACTTAGGTTAATCTGCCTGTTCTGTTCCCTGCTCTGTCTCTGGTGAATCCTTTCACCCCCCCACACCTCTGGCCTATACCCTTGCTCTTGTATGCATAAATAAATAAATCTTTAAAAAAAGAAATTCTGACTAGAAATAGCCTAACCCATGTCCAAACACCAGAATGGGAGGCTACTTTTATATCAGAGTTATTTGGCCAGCAAACACATTTCAAACTGTTGTATCGGTCGTAGGGCTGGCTGTAGAGATTACAACTTACCTGTGGCAGCTGCCTCATGCCATGTGAAGTTGAAACTGGATTTTGGTGTGTGTGTGTGTTTTTCCCTTCAGTTTTAATGTTAAATGACATATTTACACCTTATTAAAACTTGCTTTCAGAAAAAAGGATAGTTTCAGTTTTGTTTTTCTACCTTTATTACATTTGTGTTTGAGATACAAACCACTCTCTTACACCATACAAAATACATCCAACCTTGTGATTGTAAAGTGCATTTCCCCTTTCGCTATGTGTACAAAAATATTTATTTTCAAAACATAGAAATCTTTTGACAAGGCACTTTTAGGCATTGAATGAAGATGAGTCTTCAGTTCGACATTACTGATGTAAAAGTGAAACCACATCGTCACAGCTGCATTCTTGGAGTCCTTACAGATCCAGCAATCTCTAGGAACTGATAAATAGCACTGTACAAATGTTCACAGCTTTACCACTTGGGCTGAATGCTTTATAGTCACCACACAGGAAAGCTGCCCGAAACCACAGCTCTCCTTCTCCACCGCAGATGTGTTCCACTGCAAGAAATGAAGAGAAACTGCCAACACTGTCTTTAGATGATCTGTAAGATCCCATTATCCATGTAACTTCTTATCCCCAATTGTAGTGATCCCATCAGGAGGGCCAAAAGCCACGAGGCTACTCCTGTAATCCACACTCAGTTGAGACATCTCAAAAGCGAAACCAGAGACATTCACCACGGTTTGCATATTGAGAGGGAAGACCCAGAAAATGGGCACCTCTGATAAAACGAGCTTTAAACACGTACGTATGTATATATAACCTATTATTTAATATCCACGTGATGACAGGTCATGCCTGTTGTTAAAAAGCAAATTAAATGCAAAAATTGAAACCACAAAACATTCTTTTAGCAGTTCAAAATTGACATCTTTAAAAAAATACTTTGAAAGAGTAATGCTTTGCCACCATTAAAATGAAATTTTAGAGATAAAATGAATTCTACTTGGGACACTGAAATTGGTTGAATTTCTAGAGAACTACGTAACTCCATTATTTCTCACCAACTCCCCTATAACACCAATACTTACAAAAAAAAAAAAGATATCCAACTAAATGCTTCCTACCTTCCAAGAAACATTGAGAGGTTATTTATGATACATCTTTAGAAAGTTCCGCTTATTTATTGCACCTAATTTGCACAGGCTTCCCAGGACCTTTGGGGGAATAATTATGAAACAAAAACGGAGCAGCTTCCCCATTCCTGGACAACTCACACCAGCAGCAGGAGCCTGGGCCTTCCAGGGACATGGGGAACACACCAGGACTAGGGTTCATTTGTCTTCATAACCAAGAGTTGTCGGGGAGTCAAACCTACACGTGAGACTGCAGGAAGTCTCCAGTGAGAAACCAGGTGTCCTCTGAAGAGCGTGACACACACTGCCTAGTGCTGGCGAGCTAGGAAATAAGGAGAGGTTTCCAAGGCCACTTGATGATACCCTGGGATAGAACTGGACCAAAGAGAGCAAGATGTAAAGACAACGCAGTATTTTTCAGCTACTGCTACTGTCACTAAATGGCAAGGCTGCTGACAAGGAAGTGAGGCACCAGATTCTCGAGCCAGAGAAGGGTTTTTGCAAGCAGGTGAGGGCTTGCCTGGTGGGGTGGGTTTCCCAGGTGCACTGGCTAGGGGCTGGCAACTAGTGCTCCCAGCAAAAAGCTGGGAGTAAAGAAGGCAGGGGGGTGGGGGTGGGAGAGGGTTTATGGCTGTTTTAGAAGAGATACTTATCACTGAATTACCATATTTCAAATTTTGACACAGGAATGTCTTAGGGTCATTATTTATGAATATCAAACAGGCTTTATTCTAAAGACACTTTAGGTATCTTTCTTGTGAACATAGAATGATCATGTTAGCTTTAGTGTGGGGAACATGTAAATGACAGTGCACCTTGTACCTTTTCTCAATTGGAGGAGGGAGGGAACTTCTTAAAATAAACTCATGACCTATATATAAAATTCATTTTACTTCCATTAGATTTAGATCAACACTATTAATAGTTCTGATTTGTAACATGGAAAGTACTGCCTATGTGCTTAATAGAAGGTATGCTTAGAGACAACACACTTCTGCCCAATTTCAGCATAGGCTAAAAATGTGATTTTCCCTACAAGCCATGTAATCCCAGAGTGCCAGCTACCTGGGAGAGGCACAGAAAGTAAAGCACTAGATTGCAGACTAGTAACAGTTAATTTTAGGAACAAGAATTACACTGAATATCACTTAAGAATATTTTAAAAATCAAAATATTTTAAAGTTCAAAAAAGGAAAAAAAAACCCAACCATAAAATTCTAGGACCGAAAGCATTGCAGGCATGCCTGACATTGATTTACAAAGTTTCTGAAGCTGGGAGGGCTTTTAAAATTGATCTGGCAAATACAAACAAAAGAACACTGTTTGTGGACAGAGCCTGATAGTTGTGCCCCCAAATCCAGAAGGCTGTGCATTCAACTTCTTGCCTCCCATAGGAAAACCCCACCTTAGTAAGGTCAGAAATAAGGAATATAGGACAGTCATTTAACCAAGCACCAATAACAAAACAATACAGGGAAAAAAAAAAAAAAAAAACAAACAAAAAAAACCCTGCCCTTCTACAAATACACATGTAAAAATATTTTATAAACATCCCCAAGTACAAACTAATCTTGCCCAAGAAAATTCACAGGATTTGGGGATCCATCTAACAATGAAAGTACCAGGGGTCTCCCAATAGCATGAACCAATGACTTGATTCTTTAGTCCAATGTAGTTGAGAACAATTAAGCTTTGATGTTTCAGAGATGACCAGCATTTCAAACAAACTGAGAACTTGGTAAGGTTTCTCTCCCCTATCCCTTTATATAACTCAAATACCATAAATACGAACACCCAAACAGAAGTCCCTGGACACTGGTAAAGTGTCTAGGACACTGTAAATCACAGTCAAAATTAAACCATTTTTTGATGGCTCTGAGGATACTGGATCTGCAGGTGAAAATGTCCTGAATGTAGCAGACACAGAGACTCTCCAGGAAAGGAGATCTAAGCTCCTTTTGTGAAGAACAAGACACCTGCAAACCAGCCAGGCAGGTTCAAACAAATCTTGTAACTGAGCTGGCTGGTGACTCAAGGGAAGAGTGAGTGCTTAGAAAGCTCCCCCAAAAGCCAAGAGGAAAAAGCCAACTGTGTTTCCCCTCAACTGTCCTGCCTGCTCCTCATGGGGGGGGGGTCCCTTTCTTTTGTCCCTGCTGTGTTGTCCTCTACTGACACACACGTGTGGGGTCACAAAGAGGAAATGTCTGTCTCTGTCACAAGCTAATTTGCTTTTTTGTCCTTCTCCTGAACATCAGATGAACAGTGGAGGAAAGCACAATGCAGGAAATGCACAGAGTTAAAGGGTGAAGTTGGTGTAGACATGCAACAGCAGCAGCGACAGGCAGGGAGGGCTTGACAAGGAGGGGGACACTCAGAGACACATGGCCTGGGTCCAGTGGGAGGTGGCCAGGGCTGGAGTGACTTCAGGTGACTTCTTTCCCATCCAGGGAGAGAGGAGCGGCTCCTCGAGGTAGCCCACACACTTCTGGCTGCCCACTGTTCAGTCACCACCCCCCAGCCTTGCCAGGATTGCCCACAGGCCTGGGTGTTGTCCAGACCCCTCCCATCACCATCCTGCCCGGACCCTCTTGGTTGCCGGGGTGCCCAACAGTCCCGCATACCACATCCTCTCCCAGTGTGAAGCTGGGTCTGTGATCTGGACCTGGCTGGATTTGCTGGTTGAAGAAAAAAGTGAAAAGGATCCTTTCCTTTCAAAAATGGTGCCTAATGGCAGTTCGACTTTTCTCTCGGCTTCCGTCTCCATCCCACTGTGACAGCAGCTAGGCTTTTCTGCATGGACTTGTCACGCTTCACCACATGCAGTCACTAATAGTAGGGTCCCAGCTTTTCATATCCTAAATAACTAGGCCACTCCGGAAACAGACCGTAAGAACAGCGAGGGCTTCCAAATTGGTCAAAGGATATGCCCAAATCTGCTCCGTTCTGTGGCTCAACTGTTCCCTGAGTGGATTTCAGTTCAGCCCGGATGATCCTGTAGTTTTTGCCTTTGTTGCTGTCCCAGTATGTCTGTCCGTTGCACTCATAGCAGATAGCGAACTCCATTCGCTCATAGGACTGGATTTTCTCAGGTAAGCTGATGTCAAAGGAGAACGTGTCCCTGTCTGAACCAGCGTAAGTGTCCTTCACATAGTGACAGGGAAAGTCTGTGAAACTTTTCCAAGTGTCAAATGTCATTCTTATTTTCACCATCTTCTCAAAGGCAAGGTTCTGCACCTTCACGGTGCCTGCAATTGCTTTGTCCTTCAGCATACAGTTTTCAAGGCAGACGCAGTCGGTCTGAAGCCGATTTCTGAAGTCTAGGTAATCTGCAGAAGGCTGTGAAAAATCCAAAACAAAGCTCTCGCTCTCTGCTGTCGTCAGACTCACAATGTTGTCTAGCAGCTCAGTGATGTTAAATGGAATATCTAGCGGGTCATCAAATTCTGAGAACACTTTGACCATTGTCAGGGCCAGGCCTTGGTTGTCTGCGAAGGACACCCGCTTTTTCACCTTTTTCTCCTGGATGGTTGGGGCCACCATTCCACTGGCTTCATTCTTGCGGCTCAACTGAATACAAGGCCTCAGAGGCTTGCTTGGCTTTGGTGAGGTCTTGAAGGTGAACCTCTCTCTGTGTAAGGAAGGGGCCATGCAGCCGTATCCATACTCTATGTCCACAGCCATCATTGGGGTTATTTGAATAGGCTAGAACCCTGACAATAGGGGAAAAGAAAGAAAACAGCAGAGATCAGGTAGATGTTTAAACTCATCATTCCAGCAGGGACTGGCAAACAGTGTTTTCCTTTATCTCTGCCCCCATTGGCTACAGGTCAGTGTTGACTCAAGTGTGGTCCAGCATAACATTGTTTCTAGGATGATAAGGAGTGTAAAGGGGGAGGGAGGGGAAGGAAGCCCAAGGTCAAAACAAACAAATATACACGTATGGAACTACTGGTTTTACAACTACGTTCATGGGTTTGTCTGTCAGAATTTCTTGAGGCCTTTGTTACGCTGATGGGCCATGGGGAATAATGTAAAGGTAATATTCTTGGCAGAGTTTCCCAAACTTACCTGACTAGGGATCCCTTTTTTGTGATGCACCTTGCAGAACACATGTTCTAAGGCACATACTTTGGTAAATACTGCTTTAATCCAATAAAAGATATTAATTCCTCCTACAAGTATTGATTGATGAGCACTCCATGCCAGCCATTATGCTAGACAGTGATTTTTCATTAGTGCAGACAGACACAAACCTGATTCCATTAAATGTATATAGATTTTTATGTCATCCTTTAAAAAATCTTTCTTTAAAAAATAGCAATTTTGTATTTTTAAATCTTTCACATGGGTGAATTTTTTTTTCACTATAGTGAAATTAGCATCTATAGGAATAAAAAGCACAAAGAATTATGATAAAAGATTAGATTAAATCTGACTTCATAAAGACCATATTTGTCTATAGGTGAAAAATAAATAAAACCAAAAGATTATAGACAAATGGGAAAGCATTTTACCAAAAAAAGGGATAGCAAAGAGTTCCACACCCCACTCTGTCTCTGGTGAATCCTCTCACCTCCCCAACCTCTCACCTCTGGCCTGCACCCCAGCTCTTCTGTGCATAAATAAAAACAAATCTTAAGAAAAAGGACAGCAAAGAGTTAATATCTTAATATATAAAGAGTTCTTACCAAACAATAACAGTCAAATATTCCACATAGAAAAATGAGCAAAGAGCAGAAATAGGAAATTGATAAAATATGAAAGTGGCCCATAATATGCAAAATATCTAGTCTTATAAGAAATTTAATTTAGAAGGGCCTCCCAGGTGGTGCAGCGGTTGAGCACTAGGCTGTGAAGCTGCCCGCAGCCTCTGCAGCGCTGGTTCGATCCCCAGCCAGCCTGTGAGGGTCCCACATGGCACGCAGACCTCTCCTGCGTACCCGCTGCTCCCCTCAGCAGTGTACTTCATCCGTCTGCCTGTTCTGCTCCCCGCTCTGGCTCTGGTGAATTCTCTCACCCTCCCGTGCTTCTGACTGTACCCAGTGCTTGCATAAATAAATAAATAAATCTAAATATATATATATATATATATTTAAAAAAATAAATTTAAGTTAGAAAATATAAACAGTTTATAATTAAATGTTGCCTCAAAAGAAAGAAAGAAAGAAAGAAAGAAAGAAAGAAAGAAAGAAAGAAAGAAAGAAAGAGAAAGAAAGAAAGAAAGAAAGAAAGAAAGAAGGAAGGAAGGAAGGAAGGAAGGAAGGAAGGAAGGAAGGAAGGAAGGAAGGAAGGAAGGAAGGAAAGAAAGAAAGAAAGAAAGAAGGAAAGAAAGAGAACAATGCTTGTTTTTATCTACTGAGTTAGGAAAGAATTTTTTTTTTTTTAGTCTTTTTTTTTTTATATATAGAGGCATGCTTTATTTATTTATTTGTTTGTTTTTTTTGTTTTGTTTTGTTTTTGTTTTTGTTTAGACAAGCACTGGGTACAGTCAGAAGCGCGGGAGGGTGAGAGAATTCACCAGAGCCAGAGTGGGGAGCAGAGCAGGCAGAAAGACCGAAGTACACTGCTGAGGGGAGCAGCGGGCGGCAGGAGAGGTCTGCGCGCCATGTGGTACCCTCCTCCGGTGGCCAGGGAGCAGCCAGGGATTGAAATGGTGCTGTAGAGGCTGTGGGCAGCTTCGCAACCCAGCGTTCAACCGCTGCGCCACCGGGGAGGCCCTAGGAAAGAATTTTTAAAGGTAATACAAACACTTGTAATAGTCTAAATTGGCATAATATTTCTAAATATTCTTATTATTTTGGGTTCTAGTATCACATGCTGGTATTAAGGAAACAAAAAATACATGGAGATAATATACTAAAATATTCAGTACAACATTAATTGGGGATAAAGAGAGAGCAGATTACCTAAATTTTGATCAATAACAAGAATCTGGTTTAATTAAGTATACCACATTCGTGTAACAAAATCTTATATCACCATTTGGAATAAGATTTAAATGGCATGAAAAAACCTTGTAATACATAGTTAATGTAAAAAAATGAAGAAGGAGAAATATGTATATGCATACACAAAAATGTAGCACAGAAATACTTAAAATTGCATAAATACAAAGATGATGGGATTTCAGAAAATTTCTGATTCCTGTTTTGTTCTTATATTTTCTAAAATAATATCCCATCTATAATAAAAAAAGGAATCCAAAAAAGCACCTTAAAAGATTTTAAGATTGGGCCTCCCTAGTGGCGCAGTGGTTGAGTGCTGGGTTGCGAAGGTGCCCGCAGCCTCTGCAACGCCGGTTCCATCCCTGGCCACAGGCGAGGGTCCCACATGGCGCGCAGACCTCTCCTGCTGCCCGCTGCTCCCCTCAGCAGTGTACTACGTCAGTCTGCCTGTTCTGCTCCCCGCTCTGGCTCTGGTGAATTCTCTCGCCCTCCCGCGCTTCTGGCTGTACCCAGTGCTTGTATAAATAAATAAATAAATCTTAAAAAAAAAAAATTTAAGATTTTTCAAAAACACATCCAACACTGCTTCATGAAAGTCTTGCAATTTTTATCATTCTAATTACCATGGCAAATTTATATTCTCATTTTATTATGATTTGCTAACTGAAGAAGTTAATGATGAAACTAGGATTAAGATTTCTAGTCTGAGAATCACAGAACACAAAGATATGCCTTAGTTTCTAAACATATTCCTCTCACTAAGATAAAGGCATAGGTCACTGGTGGTGTGCTGGGGTACTCACTCTCAGGTCTACTCAAGTTCCCACCCTATGGGGACTGTTGGGTAATAGTGGTAGTTAAGGATATGCACAGGCAAACTTGCTCATCTTCTGTCAAGAGCTGGGACTACTTGTTTAGTTTGGCAATCTCGTTTTCAACTTAAGACTTGCATTAACCAAATCTATTTTTTTTTTAAATGAGAAACAACAAAGTCATATTGGATTTGATCCCATTTTCCAAAAGAAGTACATCACTGCCATAGAATGCAAATAAAAAAACCCAACCACTTGGCGAAACATAAAAATTTACAGACAAATAAAACAATAATTTATAGCATATAAAACATAGTTAAGTAAGTGTTCATTAAAAAATATATTTGCCTTATTATTTCCTCCCTAACAAAATTGAATAAGTGAAAAATTTTAAGGACAAATTTACTGTCTATTATCTGATCTTATAGCCATGCAATTATTCTGGAAAGGAAAGTTCTGACTGATTTGGGCATGATAGCATTAAAGAGGGTCAGTGGATTAAATAATCAGTGTAAAACCTATACTCACAAGTTACTTGAATTTCTCTTTTTCCCTGTCCATTGCAAAACTTTGTTAGAATATATTGGTACGACACCTTCAGTTCTAACTTAGACAGGTGCTTTATTTTTATTAAGTGCAGATTAAAAACCAACAGAACAGCAGACAAAGCTTTGCATCCAGTCCCTTCCACTCTACCTACCCTGAAAACCTGGGTGAGAATTGAGGGAGGAGCGTGCCTCCTTGACCACAGCTGCTTCCTCCTTGTCTGAGTCAGCACAAGGTCAACTGCAAGTTCTCTATGCAAGTCCAATGAGCTCTGCAAACTAACTACATACGTGCTTTCCTGCACAACTTTCAAACAGCTCATTAGAAAATGGTTGGAAAACTTTCAAGATATTGTGGAAACAATTCGAAAGCTAAGGAATCAGTTTAAGAATCTGCACACTTGCAGTTGACTAAAATCACTCTCAAATTCTAATCCTGCAGGTTAAAAAGACTTAGTGGAAGACCTTGGTAAAGTTTCACTGCTAGGCCCCAGTTCCATATATTTGTCCTTGTGATTTCTTTTATCACCCAGATGTAAGAACAAGTGCATCTGGGAAGAGGAGGAGAAGTTCTAGTCAGAGCCAAAGCTCATGAAATAAATCAGTGGGCACTTTCTATAGCCTGATTGGTTTTGCAATATTATTCCATGAAAGGCAAAAGTAAGGTTAACCACCTGGTGACCCAAGCATTACTACCAGGGCTACTGCCCCAGTAGCATTGCACAAGCACCCCCTGCTCAAAATCTCTTCACTTGAGGACATAACCCCTGTGGCCTCACTCTAGGGTATGACCTGTTAGCCCCCTTGCTTAGCCTCTCAGGTAGCTTCCACTTAGTAAATGGATATTTTCCCTAGAATCAGTGCACCACTAAAGGGCTGGTTTGGTGTACACATTCTGGATCCTCTGCTCAGGAATTCCCCAGGAGACTGTGACAGGAATGCCCATTACCCAGAATTATTCCTAGCCACTTAGATATGCAAGGTAAGAGATTCTTAAGTCCCTGAAAGGAAGGCAGCTGAACAGGTGTTTTATCCACAAATGGTAATTTCAACAGGCTCTTCTTCTTAAATACACTCTCCTACTACCACAGCCCTTCCCCTCTTCCAGGCCAGGAAATATATGTCATGTTGACCATGGGAAAAAAAAAAAAAACAACAAAACAACAGAATGAGAAGACAGGGACACACACTGACACAAAGCATGGTATACGACCTGGATATCAGCTGACTACAGGATGTGAGTATGAATAGCTGTTCCACAGACCAGTATGGATTCTCAAAAACTTTGCTTCCAGATAGAGGCCCAAGAGATCAATTTTGCCATACCATGCCCAAGGGCAGGGTGTAGTGTTCCAGACTGAAAGAGGACAAACCGTAAGAGCCCCAGATAACTGGTGAAAATATGAAGAGATTTGCATAAATGCTTCCTCTCTTCCACCACCGACAGGTAACATCCCTTCTTTAGACAGCTGGCCAGGAGGAGACACCATGGTGATTTTTCTCGTGAAAACCATATACTTATACAGAAAATAACTTTTCAGACAGTTGAGCTACTTTCTGGCTGTGTCTTTTATAGGGAAATTTTATTTTTTTTGCATTGAAGCCAGGACATATTTCCCTCCACTCTCCAAAACTCCACCAACGACTGCATTAAACTACAACCAAGTTAGCTGAGCAGTCACAACCAGGTTATAATTTTTTAAAGACATGGCAATCTACCCCTTTGTCATTTCTTTATTCCCTCGAAAAAGGTCTGGCTGACACAGTATAAACAGAGGTGACATCTTTCCCTTCGTACTCAGACATGGGGCTCCTATTCACAGCCTTTAAAGTCACTTGTAGTCCTCTGTCCTGCACCTTCATCAGGCACCTTTGAGATAAATACCTGTGAATGAGCTGCATATTAGCGGAAAAAGACCAGTTAAAATAGAGCAGTCCCTCCCATCTAAATGTGTCCAATATGAAATAGAGAAATGGTCCAGAAATGCCCCCTACGTAGCTGTGTTGCTCAGGACAAATCACTCAACCTCTCTGAACTTGAGCTTTCTCCTCTGAGGTCTAACTCTGACATTCTTAGTTATTAATAATGTCTAATGGTTCTTCCCACTAACTTTCCCCTAAATACTTCAATCCACTTTTGTGGGAAGTCCTTTGCTGTCTTCACTTTAGTGCTGGCTCCTGCATAATTCTGCAGAATGAACTATTTCCTCCTCTTTGCACCTAGCTCAAAGTCCTAAGACTCTTTCTGGACCCCAGGTCTCCCAGGGAGGCCTGGCCACACAACCACAGGCTACCACACCATTCAGCAACTCTCCAAGTTCTCACGACTTGTCTTTCCTCAATTTTTTCCCTCTTCTGCAGGATACAATGCCCTGACAGGCCCCAAATCTTCCATTAAGTCCTGCTACTCCCTCTTTGGCAGCTTATTCCTTCCCCATCCCCCTTCTCTGGGTTCAAAAAGGTGGCATGAAAAGGGCACAGGGATGGGGCAGGACAGAGCGACCAGGCAGGAAGACGCCACAGGTCACTCTGACCCTGACCCCTTCAGTCCAGTCTTCCAGGACTGCACGCCTTCCCCAGCCCCTCCTAGAATCTCCACCTTTGCCGGCACCCACCTTCTGGGCCTCGGAGAAGCCCCCTCCCCAGCCCGCTGGCTGCATCGAAGAGCTCGGAGGAGGCGGCAGGCAAGGTCACCACCACCGAACTACGTGAGCGTCAGTGTGTCCGGGAGGCCGGGCTTGCGCTGGGTTCCCGGAGTTGCGACCAGCGGGGAAAGGAAGACGCCGAGGAGGAGGAGCCCAAGTTATCACAGCAGGGCGGGGCCCCGGCGGGGTTACCCAGGCCGGAGCGGCGCCGCGCCAGCGCCCCTGAGCGGCCGCCTGGCCTCCGCCGGCCCGGGGCGCCTGGTCTCCGGGCAGGGTCCGGGGACAGAGGTGCCTGGGCTCCGGGAGGCCGCGGCCGCCGCAGCGCTCCAAACTCCTCAGACCTGGGGCCTGGGCGCCCGACAAGTGTGTTTCCTTGAGTTTTACAGGGAACCCGGAGCCCAGAGAGAGGTGCAGGGACTCTTACTTGTTTCCTCTAGCTCCAGACCTCACCGCCCAACTGCGGGGACACCCCCAGAAGTGTCGGGTGCCACTTGTCGGAGCAAGTATGTAAATAAACACTTTCTACTCGTTCCCGATGCAGAACAACAGGGGGCAAGGGTATTTGCAGTTCCGAGTCCCCCCAGCCCAGCGCAGCCCACCCCGGTCTCCTCCCGCAGGACTCGCGCGTCGGAGGAACACGTGGCTCTGGCCCGGCTCCCTTCCATCTCTTGCCGCTGAATTGCTCTCTCCACGTGGAAGCAGCTGCTCACCGGCGCCCGTCAAGAGTGCTCCACTCCCGGAGCATAACCCCACAGTGCACGGGCGGCCGTGCGCGCCCCTCACAGCCGCTCGCGCAGCCGAGCACCCGGACTCCAGGGCCCGGGGCGGGACGTACCTGGTACAGCTCATAGCCCAGAGGCGCCGAGGTTTCCGCCCGAGGCAGCATCCGTGCCTGGGTGGCAGGGCAGCAGCTGCGACGGGACTCAGGTCCGCGCGCTCAGTGGATAGCTGCATCCATCGGCGCGTGGGCGCATCCAGCTCTCCTCCTCACCCAAGACTCTGGGGCCTCGCCGCAGCGCAGCGTGGCCCCATTTAACTTTCGTGCCACCTCTCCCCACTTGGGACGCCATCCCTCACCCGCTTTCACGTGAACGCCCCCCGCAGCCAATGGGCGCACTCGGGGCGCGAGTCCGGCTACCAGTGGCCTTGGATGGTTGGCTTTGGGGCTCACCGCTCCGCCACGTGACGGGCTGAGCGCCCAGAGTGATAGGGCTGCAGTCCAGACCCTGGGAAGAGCGCTGTGGGTCACTGTTTCGTCAGAAGCCCGGGGACAGGCGCCAGGGGACTGAGGGTTTTGCCTACAGAAGAGCATCCCTTGTGGCAAGAGGGCTGAACTCTATGACTTGCAAAGTTCCCTCTTCCAGGCAAAGTGCTTAGCAGGGCAAAGTCTCCCTGCAGCGCAGGGGTACTTGCAGTTGCTTTCACACCATCCCTCCGGCTCCGCCTTCATTTTACACTTCAGCCCCAGCGTCCAGAGATGACCATTGCTTCCCCAGCCTCACGCAGGCCCCCGGGCAGCCTTAGAGAATACCCAGCGTGTTTCCCTCCGCTTTAGGTGGCGTCTTCTCAGGACGTCTTTATCAGATAAAGACGCTTTATCTGGTGTCTTTCCAGATCCTATGATACTGTCAGAAACAGGTAACACCAAACACTTGTTTGATGGCAGTCCCGTGCAAATGTTAGTGTGACAGGAATACAGTAAAAATCCTTTTTTATAAGGTTGGTTGGGACCTGGGAAGGACCAATGTCCGTCTCACACAGTACCTATATTTAGTTGAGGCTTTCTCGGGTTTATTTTGGAGGACGTTGCCTGCCTTGAATCCGCATGATAACTACCTGTACCTATAGGGCATCCATGATCTCTGTGATACCCCTTGAGGTCTGTGGAGCATGAGGAGCTTAGAAGAGACCAGAAGCCCCTCCTTCCATATGAAAACAATCTGAATATACATATATAGTCATAGGTATAATCCTTGTGTTCACCTATAAGCTCACCACCTAGAGATAAGTTTCCTAGTTTTAATGAATTTTGGAAACTGATATGGGGTTGTCAGCTTTTTAAAATACCAACTGAAGGGCCTCCCTGGTGGCGCAGTGGGTTGAGTGCAGCGCTGTGAAGCTGTCCACAGTCTCTGCAGCTCAGGTTCAAGTCCTGGCTGGCCAGGGAGACACCCACATGGTGCAGCAGACCTCTCCTATCTAGCCAGCTGCTCCCCTCAGCAGCGTTTTCGGTCCATCTGCCTGTGCTGCTCCCCGCTCTGTGTCTAGTGAATTCTCTCACCCTCCCATGCCTCTGGCCTGTACCCCAGTTCTTATATAAATAAAATAAATCTTTAAAAAAAGTTTTAAAAAGATAAAATGCCAACCAAAGACATTAAAATAAAATTCCCTAGCATCCTCTGTTACCATGCTTTTAGCTAAAAACACTCTTTAACAGCAGTTAACAACAAACTGCAGGAAGGACATCATCTCCAATTAAAGGTCACATTGAATATATTTAGTGATACAAAAATTTGTTATGTTGAATATGGTATTTGGGAATTCCTGCTTTAAGAACAACTTCTAATTTTACTAGGGATGTAAAACACTGAACACTAGTGGGTTACAATAATCCAATACAAATCTCCAGCTCAATACAAAGCTTCCCCAGACAGTCTTTGCATCTGAAGAGTGATCATTAGTCTTCTTCCTTGTCTTCACCAGCAGATCTGATAAAGGACCACCTGTGAACACAACTGTTGGTCAGCTGTTGGCAAATACAGTTTCTCTGCGTTATTACCTTTGCCATCTCTAAACTTCCTTTTATTAGCTGATGAGTAGATTGAAGATTTATTAAGTCAAATACTGGCTAAGTTTCTCAAGTGTAGCAAGCGTGCTAGAGGCGTGGGCACAGGAAGAGCCAACTGGTATTGCAAAATGTATGCAGGCAAAGGGTGATCCGAACCAAACTGGGAAGGAGTTGGGGCAAGTAAATGCATTAGGATTTGGAAGCATCTTCCTTACATAGATCTAGGAAATAAACCATGGGCAATAATTTCCCCTGTGGTTTAGATGACTATTTTAGACCAGGCGAGTGGAACTAAACTTAGTTGTGGCACACCACAGTCTTGGTAGGTAAGAGCATGGCATGTAAGTTTGAAAAGAGTCCAGTGTCCTTCTCGATCAGAATAGGGCTGGGATGGCAACTTGGAAGAACCCTGCCCGCAGAATTCACAGCTGTCCTGAGCCCCAGAATCTGAGAGCGAGACTGGCCTTGAGACAAAATCTTGGGCCAGATATAATCTCTCATTTTATAACAACAAAGGAGACCGAAATGGAAAATTTCTACCCTTCAGTGAATGCACACCACGTTCCTTTGATACTAACTGGCATTAAATTTTAACCTTAATTTTGTTTAAAAAAACCAACCCTTTCCCAAAATCAACAAAAAAATTTAGCAGTGGCTAAATATGGCTAATTATCATTTTCCCATAAGCTGATTTATTTTTTATTTTTGTAGTTATTCATGCTAACACTCTCTTCTTCCTCGAGTTTGGGCTCATCTGTGACTCTCTCATTCACATATATATTCATACATTCATTCATTGACATACATATGTAGTAACTACCATATACCTGGGTGCTGGAACTGGAAAAATCAGTAAAATATGATCTTACTCTCAAGAAGCTCCTAGGCTAATAAATAGTGAAGGATGTGTATAAATGGATGGAAGGTAAGTCTCTGTGTTTTGGGAGCTAAGAAAAAGACTGCAGGGATGGCACTGGGGGTGCATTGGGAAGAGGAGGAGGTCAGAGAAAGCTACTAAGGGAAGTGACCATACGAGCAGTTTGGGGATAATGGGAGAGTGCGTGGCAGGAATCGGCAAGGGCGCAGAGTTCTATGTGTTCTCAAAAGAATTATTCTGCTTACTAAAAATTAAGTTCTCTCTCTGACTTAAGGCAATGTTTCTTTACATATGTGTTAAGTCAGTTCTTCGCTCATCTAGAGAGTAAAAAAATATATCGTTCATGTCTTATCTCCTCAACACATTTTAAAAACAGTTTGAACCTGTCTTCATATAAGATTTTGGAAAGGAAATCTTGTTTCCTTATCCTCTTCTTAGAGTCCTATCATTGCTCTTTGAATGAAATGCTCCTCTTTGAATAGAAAGTAATTGCAAAGCGAATCTAAATAAAACTAACCAAGATCAAGAGTTAGAAATAAAGAAGAGAACATTCTTTTGCCTGATCAGAATAGAAAAGAATAGAACATTTTTTTAGCCTGGGAGAGATTATTTCCAAGCTGCCTATCAATTTATATTTAGAGGAGTGAAGCTGCACCTGTCAGAGCTACAGGCGCATTATGTTACCTGGGGCCTCTGCCCCTCTTTCAGATTTCACTGAATGTGACTCGCTAGGTCATGTTTTTAGGACAGGCAGATGAGTACTGACAGAGGGATTTTGTAAGCCTCTGTCCTTGGACAACATGTCCTCAGCAAGGGGGAAGACCTTGAATGGTTTACACATCAAAGCTCCCCTTTAAGGCATTTTCCTCACTGTTGAGAACTTTTGAATTCCTCAGTAAGGTTTATGTAGGGACCACTCTTTTAAAAGCTATGTGAATACAAAGCAGCTTTTAGACCATAGCTAGTCCAGTACTTTGTATGAATTGGATGTAATATTTACATTATCACTTTTATGATAATGAGTATCAGATCATTATAGTCATTTTGGGAAATTCAGAAAAACATAATGATGAAAATAGTAGTAACACCACCAGCAATAACTACCAATATAATCTACTGATTTTTCTTTCAGTATTTATTGTATGCGTAAACATAATTTTATCAGGATCATAATATATACAAAGTTTAATATTTTAACTTTTTGCTCATCCCTGCTTCACATTTTGCATATATCAGTATTGTTCTAATTGTTCTTAGATGCTTTTTTATGGCTGCATAATATTCCTTCATATAGGCTGATCATAATTTAACTATTTTTATATTGTGGAAGACTTAGATCTCCCCTCCATCAATTTTTTTCTCTACTGTAAATACACTTTGATAAGCATCTCGATATTGAAATCTTCGTCCACATCCCAGAGTATCTCCTCTTGTCCTGTTCCCCAC